CTCGTGTGCTCCTGCTCCCTGTCCGCCGCCTGCTGCACGTCCCAACCCGCAGCCCAACACTGCGCACCTATGCCTCGGGTGAGTGCATCAGGGGTGCGCGGGATCGGACACCCTAAGGCTGGGCCTGCTACTGTCACCTGACCATGGCCCACCCTCCCCCCACATGACCCCGACCTGCGCCCCACCTGCTCCTGAGCCTGTCCCACACCCCAGACTGATTGTGCCCCCTAAACCCACCCCAGTACCTGTAGGAGCCCCTCCCAGCTCTCTTGAGTTTTCTGGGCCGTGCGATAGTCCCTACCTGGTTCTTGGCTTGTACCTGTGCCAAGTGCCAAGGCCTCTGGCCAGCTGGAGGCTGCCTGGTTAGTTGGTTGTGCAACTCCGTGTGTCCACGTGGTTGTGGGGGAGTGCAGCTCCCGTGGCTTTCCTAGGGACACCAAGTGGAGCAGCAGGGAATGGGGCCGGGACCCACCCAGGACCACTCCATGACCCCTCTGCTTCTCCCCCCAGGTACTGGGTTTAACTTCATCCTTGTGGATAAGAGGGGTCGTGGCGGCAGCGTGGGGCTAATCCAGCTGAACCGCCCCAAGGCACTGAATGCCCTCTGCAATGACCTCATCAAGGAACTCAACCAGGCGCTGAAGACCTTCCAGGAGGACCCAGCCGTGGGCGCCATCGTGCTCACGGGTGGGGACAAGGCATTCGCAGGTGATCAGGGTGGGGGTGGCCCCAGGGAGGGTGCACACCCCTGGAGCTCAGTGAGGTGCCCACACAGCAGGCCCTGGTTCTACTGCGGACCAGGTCTACTGGCCTAGATGCCTTCTGAGCTCTTGTACCCACCCCAGCTGGGGCCGACATCAAGGAGATGCAGAACCACACCTTCCAGGACTGCTACTCCAGCAACTTCCTGAACCACTGGGATGAGCTCACTCAGGTCAAGAAGCCAATCATTGCAGCTGTCAACGGTTATGCTGTGAGTGGGAACTGTGCTGGGCGCTCACCTCAGAGGGGCCAAGAGTCGGGGGGGCTGGTGGGGAGGGGGCCCACCTGGCTCCCCTAGTGCCCTTTCTGGGTTGCGTCTTCCTCTGTTAGAGCTCGGGTGCCAGGGCTGAAGCCAGGTGTCTGCTTGCAGCTGGGTGGGGGCTGTGAGCTGGCCATGATGTGTGATATCATCTACGCTGGCGAGAAAGCGCAGTTTGGACAACCAGAGATCCTGCTGGGCACCATTCCAGGTGAGTGCCAGGTGCCCCAACCAGTGGCCCCAGATCTGGTCACTGCCTAAGGCCAGGGCAGGCGCCAGGGAGTTGAACATGGCCTGAGGCCGTGTGCTCAGTGGGGCACACAGAGCTGGGGCTCACCCCCAACAGCTCTCACACCCATGTGCTTGGTCCCAATAGGGAACAAGGTAACTGCCAGTTCCACAGCCTCTGCCCCACATGACTCTCATTCCGACCACTCCTGCCTCCCTGGGAATTTGCCAAGGAGTATCACCTTCTGTCCATGAGGGCCACCAGGCGGGCCGGGAGAGAGATGGTGCCCTCCGTGGCCTATGGGTTAGGCCATGCAGGTCTTGGGCTTGGGAGAGCTGGCTCTATCCTGGCTGATCCCAGAGCCAGTGGTAGCCAGCAGCCTCTCTCCACACAGGTGCAGGGGGCACCCAGAGGCTCACCCGTGCTGTGGGGAAGTCACTAGCCATGGAAATGGTCCTCACTGGTGACCGGATCTCAGCCCAGGAGGCCCATCAGGCAGGTACGGCCGGGAGTCTCTGGCTACCGTGAGTCTGACAACTTTGAAACATTGGGGAGCTGGCTTGGCGACAGAGGGAACCATAGCACAAGAGTGCCAGGACCCCAACCCCTACTCCAGGATGGTCGGGGGACCCTACAGCTATAACCCCAACTCTAGCACAGGTAGAGGGAATCCCAGGAATATGACCCCAGAGCAGGCAGAGGACCCCAGGACCCCAACACCTACTCCAGCACAAGCAAGGAAACCCCAGCATCCTAACCACATAGCATGCAGAGGGGTGCCCGTCAGTCACCAGGATGGCCCAGCCTGCCTGTCATAGTGCAGTGACCGACCGCAAGCTCAGTTGCCATGCTCGTGAGCCCATGTTGTGCTCCAGGTCTCGTGAGCAAGGTTTTCCCTGTTGACACACTGGTGGAGGAGGCCATCCGGTGCGCGGAGAAGATTGCCGGCAACTCCAAGATCATCACAGCCATAGCCAAAGAGTCGGTGAATGCAGGTGAGATGGTCACTCCTCAGGAAGCTCACTGCAGGGATGGTGGACTAGGCTGGGGCAGACCCATCTCCAGGTTTTCCAGCTCTCTCTGCTAGCAATGTGGCTATGACCTCGGTGTTCAGCATGGGGCAGTGGCTTGTCCATCCTGTTGGAGATGGCCCCAAGGGGCAGCTACAGGGAGGCCTCCCAGCCCCAGGCACTTTGCCACTGAGTTGCCCGAGGAGGCCTGGGCTGGGGGCCCAACCCAATGAGGCTATGACCCTGGCCCTCCTTTCCAGCCTTCGAGATGACGCTGACGGAGGGAAACAAGCTGGAGAAGAAGCTGTTCTACTCCACATTTGCCACTGTGAGTGCCCACCCCCTGCATCACATACACGGGTGTCTCCCCATCACCCACACAGGGGTGCTGGGTGTGGGTCAGGTGTCATCCCAGTTCCTCCCCACCGTGAGGGAGCCTGCTGCCCTTGGCTAGGTTACTCCACAGGCTGCTGGGGAGCCTTCCACTGGAGATGCTGGGACTGGAGGTCCGGTTACAGGCACATCACATGCTGCCTTGTAAGCCCCTCGGGCAAGGCTGCCTCTCCCCACGGGCGGCTCCTCGCATTGCCCACCTCACTCTTCCGCCAGTCACAGCTCCGGGGCTTAGGAAAGAGAAGTGAAGGATGGTTTGGGTTCCCAGAGAAGAAATGAGGTGTGTGTGTCACAAGCTCAGCTCAGCTGTGCTCTCTCTTCCCTGCAGGATGACCGTAAGGAAGGTATGGCTGCCTTTGTGGAGAAGAGAAAGGCCAGCTTCAGGGACAAGTGAGGCGGCCTGAGCCTGCAGCGCACGTGTGGCCCTGGGCTGCCTGTCCAGCGCCCAGCTGTCCAGTGCGTTTCTAGCACCTACTTGGACCACAACCTCTGTGCCCACACCAGCAGGCTCTTATAATGCTGCTGACTGCTCCCGGAGGTGCACTCGTTTGCTGCATTATCCTGGGGAGGGAGCAGAAGCTGGGTCACGGCCACCTTCGTCCACTGACCACGTGCACTGCCAATTAAACTGACTCCTGCTGATGCCGTCCCCTCCACCATCTGGAGTTGAGTCTTGGTCACTTGGCCACACAGCTGTGTGGTTAGTACCCACGTGCCGGCTCATGGCCCTGGAGACTTTGCAAGCACATACACATACACACATATGCTCGCACCCACCCCACACAGTCGCTATGCAGACACATCCACACATGAACATGCAACTTGCAGGAATCCCCCATGCACACCATCACATGGAGCCCCATGAGAGGGATGGGCAACTATTCAAAGGCCCCTGTGTGAGCAGGCATTTGTTCAGCCCAAACCCCGGGCTTGTGGCCTCCAGGGCCCAGGAAAGCTTGAAGCCACAAGTATGGCCCAGGTGTCTCATGCCAGCCTCAGGCCCCTCACAGCCAGGCGTCCCATGCCGGGCTCGGGCCCCTCATAGCCAAGCAGTGTTCCTGCCACACACTTGGCAGCTTACAGCTGCAAAGAGTTCTGCCATGTTGCACCTTCATGCTGGACGGACAGGCAGCAATCCTAGGTGTTTAGGCCCTCGGGGTTTGCAGAATAGACAACGGCACCAGGCACTGTGCGAAGGGGACTCAGTTGGGGGCATGAGCACAGGAAGGCTGGCATGTGAAAATGCTCGGAGCCTGTTGGACCTGGGGGCAAGGCAAGGGTGAGGTTGGCCACTGTTTGTGATGGATGCTCAACTGTGTGGCCTGTTCCACAGTAGGGACATGACAAGAGCCCCTACTGGGAAGGAGACAGGCCCCCCCCCCCCAAGCATGTCCACCTTCCCCCAGCGTCACTCTGGCTGTCCCAGGGAGCACTAGTTCCTGTTCCCTGGAACTGTGTCTTCAGGTCAGAGTCCGAATTACCACTCCTGGTGCTGTTCAGTGCAGTGAACCGGACGACCCGGCCAGGGCAGCAGCTCCTCTGCAGGGGACAGTCCCTCCCAGTCTGAAGGTCAGGGATGGCCGTTGGAGCAGAGGTCCATTCCCCCACAAGGTGACTGCTGAGTCACATCACCTGCAAAGCAGCACCTGGAATCTGGCCCAGTCCATCCCAGTGCACAGTCCCCAAGCAGCTGCTCACCTAGTTGCAAAAGTGACCACTGGGCCCCCAGCTGGCTGCCAAGAGCTGATGTCTCTCAGGCTCCATTCACACTGAGTTAGGGGCTCACATGGTCAACATTACCTCCTGTCAGCCTCAGTTGAGGGGCAGAGAACTCAAGGCCGCGTGCTGGGTCCAGAGACCAGGCACTTGGCTTGTGTCCCTCAGAGTGGCCTTCGGTCCTCCCTATCCTCACCCCTCCATGCCTTCCAGGAGCACCCGGGGCTCACGGGGGAGTTGCCCTGCACCCCGGCGTCTCCCGCCCTTCCCGATGCAAAGACTGGGCACTGGCCCCTACACCGGGGTCAGAGGTCAGGACTGCTCTCCGAGGAGGGGCACTCAAAGGGAGTGGCTTGCAGAGGGGTCCCGAGCGCTATACCGGCGAACCCCGGAACCTGGGGCGGGCAGGCCGGAAGTCAGCTTGCCGCTCCGGGGCCGGGGGTCGCCAGGCCACGCCTCTCACTACAAACCCCGCCCCTCCCAAGCAATGCCCCACTCATCCGGGCCTACCAGGCCACGCCTCTCCGTCACAGCAAGCCGCGCTCCTGCTCGTCATGCCCCTCCCTGTCATGCCGCGCTTCTCCTCTTCGCGCATGCCTCGCCCCTCCCGTCACGGCAGGCCCCGCCCCGCTCCCTGCTGCAGCCATGGTGGCCCTCAAGGGCGTCCCTGCGCTGCTGTCCCCGGAGCTGCTGTACGCCCTGGCGCGGATGGGACACGGGGACGAGATCGGTGAGCGCGGGGCGGAGCCCCAGGGTATCAAGGGTTGGGAGAGGGCCGAGGCCACCGCAGCCCCGTCTGGCAGAGGCTGTGTCCAGGAACCCCGACCCCTCCTCAGCCTGGAGTTGAGGGAGTCAAGTCTAAGCTTACCCTCCTCCAACAGTCTGCATCTGTATTTTCCCGGGCCCCTGGCGCCCCAAGCCAGCCCCCACCACACCTTCCTGTCCTCCCTGCCATGGACCTGCAATCTCCCACCTCCCAGAGCCCTGGGGTGAGGTTGGCCAACACTCCTGACCCCTGAGTAACCCAGGTCTGCACCCACTGACTGCTAGGAAGGTCCAGGAGGAGCACCATCTCAGAGGGGGCAGTGCTGACCCTAGGGTGACAAGGGATAGGTTCCCCTTTGCAAGGTGTGCTTTGCTGAGCCCAAGGTGACCAGTAGGGCAGGGTGGGCAGCACTGACGCTGTCCACTGTTCAGTCCTGGCAGACGTCAACTTCCCCACCTCGTCCATCTGCCAGCATGGGCCTGTGGAGATCCGCGCAGACGGTGAGAGGCCTGGAGGGTGTGGGGAGCTGACCCGCCTCCCACGGCCTAGGGATTGGGGTGGGCGGCAGTCCTCCACCTGGCCTGGACCCCGTCCACCAGAGGCGGGGCCCTAGCACAGGCTCCGTCCCTAGGCCTGCGTGCTCCGCAGCTCCTGGAGGCCGTGATGAAGCTGCTGCCACTGGACAGCTACGTCTCCAGCCCGGTAAGGCTCCTTGCCCATGCTTCTCCTCTGCCAGAGCCCTCCTGAGGCCCTGTGTCTTCAGAGGATCCTGCAGAGGGCCAGGGGTCTAGACCTGACCCCTACCCCCACCCTCCCAGGCTGCCGTCATGGAGCTGGTGCCCAGCGACAGGGAGAGAGGCCTGGAGACCCCAGTGTGGGCCGAGTACGAGGCCATCCTGTCCAGGGCCGGCTGCACGGTAAGAGAGGGCTGGGGTGCCCCTGTGTCTCCTGGCATTTCAGCCCACAGGGAGTGAAGAACCCGGGGCGGGGGGAACCCCAGGCCATTCCACCCAGCCCTCGAGAGACATGCACCAGGGACCACAGCCTGCCCCACCACGGCCATGTGCATCCTCAGGAGATGCACTGGACAGGATCCTGGCCCATCTGCTGGAGACTACCCTAGGACAGCCAAGAGCAGAGGGCTGCCTGACTAACCCTGCCCAGGTCCCCTCCCACTCTGGCTGGGTTGCATGTCACGGCCTGCACCCCTACCCAGACAGAGCACCTGCCCATTCCCCTGGGATGACAGGAGGGCTTGCCCAGCAGCAGACCATCAAACATAACAGGTGCCCCGTCCACTACAGACCCCATGCCGGGACGGCAAGAGGCCCTGTCCCTACTGCCTGCCCCAACCTTATGTCAGCAGTTATGTCCTCAGGGCCCAGTCCTGGAGGGAAAGCAATGAGAAGCCCAAGGGGCCAAGCCTTCAACTGGCTCTGCCCCTGATGAGCCATGACGGTTTCTGTGCTGTTGCCTTCTAGAAATCCCTGGCGAAGATTGAGAGATTTGAGTTTTATGAGCGAGCTAAAAAGGCTTTTGCCGTGGTGGCTACAGGGTGAGTTCCAGCTGGGTCCAGCTGATTCAGCCAAGCTCAGCCTGGGTCCCTTCCACAGCTGAGCAAGAAGGAAGGAGGGCCTTGGGTGGTCAGGGGCCCCAGGCGACTGGTCCCCAGGTCTGTGTCCTAGTGGAGCTGGGAATAGACGGGCCAGGCTACTGTGTGCTCAGCCTTCCCACCCCCCTTGCAGGGAGACAGCCCTCTACGGAAACCTCATCCTCACAAAGGGAGTGCTGGCCCTAGACTCCCTGTGCTAGGCCTCGCAGGATACCTGTACCTCGGTGACACCACTCCCCTCCGCACCCCTCACCGGCAGCAACCAAGGGCCTGGACAGGACGGAGGGAGCAGGGCCTCTGGACTCCCTGTACTAGGCTTCCCAAGACACCTGTACTTCGGCGACACCGACCCCCCCCCGCCACCGGCAGCAGCCAAGGGCCTGGCCAAGACGGAGGGGGCGGGGCCTCTGGGGAATCTTGCTGAACAGGATGGTCCACCCCATGTGTGACAACAATGGAAACACTTGAGCCATGGGGCCTTCCCCTCTGGGCTTGAGCAGCAGTTCCTTCTCATGCAGGTACCTTGGGGTGGGGTGGCCCCCCAGAGCGAGGCTACCACCAGCTTGAGTGACTCCCAGTGGGCAGCTCTTCAGGAAACAGGCCCCACAGGGGCAGGCAGGAGGGCAGGAGCAGGTGGGGCTCCTTGTCCGGGCTGCACCCTCAGCCATAGCAGGGCCTGGCCCACACACTGGAAAGGGCCCCACTCCTAAGGAGGACTGCCATTTGAGCACCTTGATGAAGTCAAATGGGCCCTGACTGCTATCTACTGGGAGCCCACCTGGCCTCAGGTGCCCTCAGCAGATGGCTGTGAGTTCAGGGAGACATATCCCAGGATCCTTTCTCTGTGTCCCCGGGTGTCCTGGCAGCTCATGGATACAGGGAGTGGGGTGACAGGCCACAGCTGAAATGACCAGTGCTCCCTCAGTGCCCGGTCCAGTGGCCCCGACGCCTTGGTATGGGTCACAAACACCCACTCTTGGGCCATAAGGTGCTGCACAAAATTCCTGTGGAGCACACTGCTGGAGATTGTGCCAGGACAGTCAAGAGCAGGGGCCAGCCTGCATAACCCTGCCCAGATCCCTACCCACTCCTTAGCTGGGAGCTGCATATCACAGCCCACACTCCTGCCCATTCCCCTAGGTGAAGGTGCAAGCTGCTTGTGGAGCTTACGGCATCTGTACCCAGAGTCAGGCCACCCGGGTTCCACCCCAGCTCTAGCTCCAGCCTCCTCCCTGGGGGGCAGCAGTGACAGCTCAGGTGACTAAGGGGATCTGGGGGCCTGTCATCTGTCAGCTGGGATGCTGTTTACCCACACCCAGGCTCTCACTCAGCCAGCACCATGCACCTGCTGCTTCCCTGGTGTGGCCTCCAACACATGGCATTCTGCCCTCAGTAGCATTGCTGTGGTTGGAGGCTTTGAACCGAGGCAGTAAAGCTGCCACGCATGGCTCATCCCAGCCCAGAGTTAGGGCTGTCATTTCCTGTAAGATGGGGACCCAAGTGGCACGAGCCTGGCCACTGGGGTCATGCTGCCAGCTTTCCCTGTTAGATGCCCCTGGGAGTCATCTCAAGCTTTCAAGGGCCATGAAAGTTACTTGCCCAGTGCCTGCAGTGCCAGTGTTTCCTGGGAAGGTCGGGAATTTGACCACAGGCCCCTCAGCAAAGCGTGTCCCCTCTCAGAGTGGACCACACTCCTGTCTCGGTCCCCCCATACATGATGCAGATGTATTGGCACTGTCCACGTTGGCCTCGCCACACTCCCCCTGCACCATCTTCTGGATAACAGTTTCTCACACAGGTGAAAGGGAGCCCGGCTTCTGGGCTTGGTCTTTGCTTATGTCCTCCGGCGTTAGCCTGGTGGGGTGCTGGTCCCAACGCTGAGCCAGCATCCCAGGTGGTCCTCCAGCATTAGCCTGGGGGGCGCTGGCCACAGCACTGAGACCAGCATTCCAGATGGTCAGTGGCAGCAAGCAGCTTACCATGGGCCCATGGGTCTGCCCCTTAGCTTCCTTTTTTCTTTTTAAAGGTTTATTTATTTATTCAAATGGAATACACATCCCCAGCTGTCTGGGCCAGGGACTCCATCTTGGTCACCTAGGTGACAGGGCCCAAGTACCTGGCTCATCTTCCGCTGTCTTCTCAGGTGCACTGAAAGGGAGCTAGATCATAAGCAGAGAAGCTGAAACTTAAACACACTCCAACCAGCTGCTGCACCTGCACACCGGCACCACCTTGGTTCTCCTCTGTGTGTGTGGCTGTGCCCATTCCTGCAGGCACCGGGGCCCTGGAAGCTCCCATGCCAGCCCAAGACTCTTTGGGCCAACTCAGTGTCTAGGTTTCCCCCACCAGCCTCCCAATCCAGCTGTTCTCAGGGGATGGCAGGGCAGGGCCTGAGGTCACCACTGGACCTTAGCCAGCTCACTTTTCTGCCAGTGGGAAAAAGTGGCACAGAAAGTCCCACCTGTTGAGGCTCCTGTCACTGGCTTCAGCCACGGCCCTCAACCCAATGCACATCCTGGTCGGGGGAGGGCAGTGGGCCATTCCGACCAGGGCCAGCTAACCCCTATATGGCCCTGAATACAGCCAGCACTCCCTCGCACAGAGCAGGAGACTCAATGCCATCGCAGGGCTTCGGCCTCTGCCGGTGTTTATTTTACAACTGAGGCAGGGGGAGGTCAGCAGCCTCCTGGGGAAACTGGGGGAGGGTGGCTCCAGAGCCTACACTCCATGGTAGATGTGGTCCCGGTCCTCCTCTGGCCCCTGCAGCACCTGGCGACGTGGCAAGATCTGGGATCGGGGTCCTGCCCTACCCTGGCCCTCAGGCTGGGGGTGGTACAGCTCGTCCAGGTCAGGCTCTGGTCCCCACCTGGGGTTCCGGAAACGGCTCAGGATGTCCTTGGCATCTGCCTGGGTGCTAGCACCTAAGGATAGGATGGGGAGGTGTGCCTCAGTTTCCCTCCTTCTGAGAGGCCTGTCTGTCCAACCCGACCCTGCATGGTCTGGCCCCTGCCAGAGGGACAGGACACACCCTGACCTGGCAGCTCTTCCTTGGCAGCGACGGGCTTCAGCCCTAGGATGGGCAACAGCAGCAGCAGCTGGCCATCCTTCTCTGGAGGGTCCACAGCTCGGGCTCCCCAGGCCCTGCCAACATAGCCAGGTCAGCTCCACATAAGGGTAGAGCTGGATGGTGGGCCCCAAAGGACTTCCTGTGGGGCTGAGGGTGGCACTGTGACCAGGCACCCAAGCAGAAGGTACTCGAGCAATGGGTACAGTTGTGGGGGGCACTTACTTCTCTGTGTCCTGCTCAGGGACTCCTTTTTTGCCCTTTGTCTTGACGAGGACCTGGAAGAGTGAGTGCCAGGTGTGGGCTGGCCTTGGTCCACAGGCCTGGGGCCCACCCCACCTCCATGTTGGGTGAGCTGACTCAGCATTGCCCACAGGTCAGGATCTAGCCTGGGACAGGAGGCAGTGAAGCAGGACCCAGGCCAGCGTACCCTGCCTGCTCCCAGGTGTACAGGCTGGCCCAGCCTGCCACTGTCAGCACAGCTTAGCCTCCAAGCTCAGGATTCGCACACCAGTCCCAGGTACCCCACACCCACGTGCCCCCACTTCTCTCCTGGGCCAGGCTGGGAGTCCAGAGGGAAGGGGGCCTAACATCCCCTATGGGGGTCACAGCCAGGGCATGGCTGGGACAGAAGGGGCCCACACATACCTGGGGTGCTGGGGCTGCACCTGCCTCACAGAGCAGCAGGAACACTAGGCAGGTAGCTGCAAGGAGCCTGAAGATAAGCAGGGGGGTAAGGCCAGGGATAGATCACTGCTGCCCCTCTGTTAGTGGCATTGAGGACCCCAAGAGCCCACAGGTTGGGAGGTAGGTGAGATGGCCCAGGCCTACAACCCCACCTATGGCCACTGCTCCCACTCAGGGCAGACCCCTGCAGCAGGGCAAGGTGTGTAATATGTGTAGTGTGTGTTCTAGGTATGCTGTGTTATGTGTATGTTGTGTGGTTAGTGTGTGGTATGTAGGCTGCGTAGTATGTGCAGTCTGTGGCGTGTAGTAAGGTTGGGGAGTATGTAGTGTATATGACCTGTAGTGTACTGTGTATGTGTTGTGTGTAGCATGTACTGTGGGGTGAGGCTGTGGCCCTGCCAGGCCCCCACAGACCTTTGTTCTTTTCCTGGCTGACTCAGGCACTGATAGGCCAGCGTGGCCCTGACCTGTGGAGTTAGGCCACCCGCCTCTCCCCAGGACCCCAGAGGGAATCGGTTCTGCAAACAGGAGACTCTGAAACTCCTGGACCCCATCCCCCAGTGTACAGATTTGGGGTCTGGCAGGAGCCCCAGCCTCTCCCTGAACCCCCCACAAGAGCTCCTGGCTGGTGTTCCCAGGGCAGCCACTGCTGCCCACAGCCTGGCAATGGGCTGCCCACAGCCTGGCAATGGCAGGCAGTGGCTGCTGGCTGATCCTGATGAGAGCCGGGAGGAAGTGTGCCTGCCATTGAGTCCTTCCCCGCTCCCCACCCAAGTTCCAGAACAAGTCCCCCCTCCCCACCCCAAGTCCTGAGCTGAGGCTCCAGAACCTGCCTGCCCAGGGGCTGCATGCTCCCAGGGCTGGAAGGGGACAGGGGAAGGGTGTCACCTCTTCATGGCAGGGTCTCTTCTCAAGGGTACTCTGGAAACCGCAGCCTCCTCTGGGACTTGGGGTGTCTGGCCCTGCTTCTCCACAAGCCACTCAGGGTTTTATTGTCCCCATATGGGCGTGCCTAGGCAGGGGGCAGGGACCCTGTCCTGCACTGCCCAGTTGCCTGCGTCAGCTGCCCAGCCCTTCTGCAGCTGGTGCTGAGCCAGTCAGCGCAGCTGCCCCGAGGGACCTAGCCCACTGTTCCCTACCTGGCTGCCATGACGTGCCAGGCCACCAGCTCCTCACTGCCACCTGTTCCACCCACTCCCACACCTGCTGCACTTCTCTCCCTCTTAGATATATAATGTGTAACTTTTTTACAAGAAGGCTAAGCTATCTCCATGTGCAGATGACATAGTCTTACATGAGAAATTCTAAGGACTCCAATTGGAAATTACTGGAAGTAATAAGTGGTTTTAGAAGAAAACTAGGTTAATATACAAAAACCACCATGTTTCTGTGGTGTTAGCAGAGCAGTTTAAGGTGAAATTAGGGGGCTCAGTGTGGTAGCCTGGTGGCTAAAGTCCTCACTTTGAACGCGCCAAGATCCCATATGGGCTCCAGTTCTAGTCCCAGCAGCCCCACTTTCCATCAGGCTCCCTGCTTGCCAGGCCCATTGCCATTGCCTTTTTAAAAACTTCTCCACTGGGCCTGGCAGGGTAGTCCAGTGGCTAAAGTCCTCGCCTTGCATGTGCCAGGATCCCAAATGGGCACCGGTTCTAATCCTGGCAATCCAGCTCCCTGCTTGTAGCCTGGGAAAACAGAGGAGGACAGCCCAAAGCCTTGGGACCCTGCACCTGTGTGGGAGACCTGGAAGAGGCTCCTGTCTCCTGTCTTTGGATCGATTGAGCTCGGTCATTGAGGCCACTTGGGGAGTGAATCAGAGGACAGAAGAACTTCCTCTTTGTCTCTCTTCCTCTCTGTATATCTAACTTTCCAACAAAATCTAAAAAAATTTTTTTAATCACTTCTTCACTTACTTCCATTGTATTTGAAAATCAGAAAGAGGCCATCTGTCGGCCAGATCACTCCCTGATGAAGCACCACTTTGGCCACGGGCACTCCATCCAGGTGCCCTTCGTGGGGTAGGAACCCCAGGCCATGAACCGCCACTGCCAGGAAGTACCTATGGTTCCTGACTGGACTTAACGCCTGTGCTTGCAAAGCAGGAGGCTGGCACAGTGGGCATGCTTTAGGGGGCCAATGCTTCACCCCACTGCCGATGGAGTATGGGTCTGGGGAAGCAGTGGGGCTACTGCCTGGAAACCCGAATCTCCCGGCTCTGTATCCTCTAGTCTCTGCTGATACTGATCCTGTAGGCAGCAGGAGATGGCTCTAGACTGAGCCCAGGCTGCCGGCATCAGCCTGGCCCAGCCCTGCAGTGCAGGCCTGCTCTGTGACCTCACACTGCAGCTGATAACCCCCCTTACCCAGTCATCTGGCAGAAACGAGGGTCATGTCCACTCCTGGCCACCCAGTGGAAACAAGGGCCACATCCTCTCTGGCGCTGTGGTGCAGCAGGAAAAAGCACTGCCTGTGACACTGGCATCCCACATGGCCACTGCTTGTGTCCCAGCTACTCCACTTCTAACCCAGCTCTCTGCTGCTGACCTGAGAAAGCAGTGGAGGGGACAGGGGGAGCCCTACACTGGCGCAACCCTGATTACTGCAGCCCTCTTGGGAGTGAACCAGAGGATGGAAGATCTCTCTTTCACATTAAAAAAAAAATCTTTATTTCCAAAGACGAATAGTACAGTGGACAAAAACAGCACAAACCACCAGCAAACATGGAGGTTCTGCACTCTCCTGTGAATGGAGAGTGAGGCAGAGGGTCCACAGCAAGAAGGGTTTTTACTGTAGATTCAAAGGGCAGTGATTCACAGCCTAGTCTGGCCCTGGAGTGTCTGGCTCACAGGCTGAACCCTGGGGACATAGTTCTGGGAGCACCCAAAACAGGTGGACAGTTAGGGAGCCACCCTGGGGGAAGGGACTGATCAGGGTCCTGACTTGGACTGTCCAAAGGGTAGAGAACAAAGACAATGGCAGAAGGGTTGAGAACATCCCCCCGCCCCTTGTGCCTGAGACCTCGGGCCTGGGCTGGGGTGATCAGTACCAGGGGTGCAAATGTGCAGGTTGAGAGAGGGCCAAGGGAGGGTGGTGCCAGTGTGCAGGTCAGGGGAGGGCCAGGGGTGCGAGAGCGCAGGTCGGAGGAGGGCTGGAGTTTTGGTACCCAGATCTGATCCCCTGCAGAAAAATGGGGAAGGACTTAGGGCCCCGCAGAAGCTGCCAAGGCCCCTCCTCCAGTCTGCGTCACCATGGCAACCACAGCCTCGGTCTCACGGCTCTAACCCTCTCCCCCTACCCGTCGCGAAGCCTCTGGAACCGCATCCTGAACACCCACAGCCGCATCTTCGTCCTGTCCTCCAGCGCGCCCTCCAGCAGCTGCCGCCTGTGAGCCATTTCCATGTTTCTGCTTGCGGGGAACGGGCCTGAGGGTGTGCGGGGCTGTGAGGAGTATGTGTGCAAGGGGGTGTGGTGTGCGTGCAGGGTGGAAGACAGCGTGTACCAGGTGTGTTGCCGGCGAGGGAGGAGTGCATGTGTAAGAATGTGTGCAAGGAGGCTGTGCTGAGTGCGTGTGCCAGGTACAGGGGTTGCGGGAGCGGTGCGAGTGCGGGAGTGACATACGGAGACACGCAGCCGCCCGCAACTGTTCTGGGGCCAGGTCGCGCCCTCCTCCCTCGGGCTCTCTGCCGCCGCGGAAGTGGGGTGTCCCCTGTCTCCCGGGACGTCCGAGACCCTGGGAGGCCTGCGGCCGCCTAGATGTCCAGGAGGTGCAGCCGGCGCAGAGCCGGAGGCCGAGGCCCGCCTGGTGCCCGAGGCCCCTCCTTGCGCGCGGACTCCGCCCCTGCAGATCTGAGCGAGCCAGTGGGCGCGCGCTTCCGCGGCAGCTGGTAGGGGGCCGCGCTAGCCCGGGAAGGGCGCGGCCAGCGCGATATAGGTGGCAGTGTCCTGGGGTGAGAAGGAGCGTTAGCCCAGATTCCCTGCCCGGACTCCTCCGCGGTCACCACAGCGGCTGCGCTCCGCGACCTCCTGTACCCGGACCTCGGACCGACACCCCAATCCAGCGTCCCTCGGCCGGGCGGTGACCACCACCCGCCTGCACTGTGAGGGTGGAAGGTCCCTCCTAGGGCGCGGTGACGCACGTTCCCGCACCCGGCACGCACTGCCCCGCGTGACGCAAGCTCTGGCCCCGCCGTCCCTCAACAGTCTGAGCCGGGGGATGCGCCTCAACCCTGCTCCCAGCGCAGGACTGGTCAGGGTGAGGGCAGACGGGGTGGAAGGCAGAGACTGCCTGCACTCGCCGAAACTCTGCTCCAGCCCCTGCATCCTCTCCAGCCTTGCCCTGCAGGTGGAGCCGCGGGCCTGGGAGTTGGGGTCGTGCGGAGGCTGCGGAGCCCCATCCATGTCTATGTCCCCTCCGTCTCCTTCCCAACTCCCGTCTTTGTACCCCGTCCCTGGTTTTGTGTCACCCTCAGGGCTGCTCACTTGCTGGTGCCCGGCTGCCTGCAGAAGTTCCTCTCCAACTGGACTCCAGGGTCCAGGCCTGAGGAGGGGATTATCTCATGCTCTTGTTTGGGCCAGAACGGCACTGGGATCTCCAAACCAGCAAGAGCCAGTGCCAGCATGCCCTGTGAGGACGCTAGCACCTCCCCGGGCCCTCCAGGTGCCAGGGGCCCTATCCCACCCTCCTTGGGCCCTTGACTGGACTTCCATCCCCTCTTTCTGAGGCTGTTTCTGACTGAAAGGTGAGGGTGGGAGAGGAAACCTGGCCACTGGTTCACTGCCCATCAGTCACAACAACCAGGCTGGGACAGGCCATATAGGGACCAGCCTCAGGACCGTCCATGTGGACAGTGGCTAGTACCAGGGGCATAGCGGGGGGCACGCAGTCAGGTGGGCTCAGGGTCCCCCACAGGCCACAGCAGCAGTCTCATGTCGATAGCAACAGGGTCATCCCAGGGCTCACTTCCTCTCCCTGCCCGACAGCAGAGGGAAGCCTGACCACCTCCATCTCTACACTAGGTATGGCAGTGGGAGCCAAGGGGACGGTGAGGACAAGAGGGCAGTGAGACCAGGGGAGGACAGTGAGGTTGGGGGGACAGTGAGGCTGAGGGGATGGTGAGGACAAGAGGACAGTGAGGTTGAGGGGACAGTGAGATCAAGGGGAGGACAGTGAGGTTGAGGGGATGGGTGAGGCTGATGGGACACCAAGAGTTGAGGGAGCCGAGTTGTTGACTGTAGTACCAACATTCCACGTGGACTCCACATTGAGTCCTGGTGGCTTCCTTTCCAATCCAGCTCCCTGGCAATACTTCTTGGGAGTCACAGGTGATGGCCAGAACACATGGGCTCCAGGTCCACATGGGAAACCCAGAGGCTCCAGGCTCCTGGCTACCTGGCCATGCTGGCAGTTACAGCTATCTGGGAAGTGCTCTGTGTGTGTATATACATTTAAACTCTGCCTTTAAAAAATAAACATTTTTTAAAATAGCCTGCAAATATTGAATCTTACCAAGTCCTTTCTTAGCTCCTATTGGAATTGGTCGAAGGTTTTGTTCTTCCTCTGCACATGGTTTAAAGACCTATGGGGGAGGGCCGCTCCTTGTCCCTCCTGGACCTGCACCCGGATCCCCACACAGGCATTGTGGGTAGATCGGACCTGCAGCTGCTTCTGCCCTAACACTGGTGGGTGACATCAAGGGGTCTCAGGGTTCTGAGCTGGCTTGTTTGCAGGACATGCGTGGTGGGTGGGATCCCATGAGTCATCGTGTTTATAGGACCTGTGAGGCAGGTGGGATCCTGTGTGTCCTGCCCAGGGCCTCCCAGGCTTCCCTTCATCTGGCCCAGCTCCAGAGTCAGCAAGGGTGTGCACTGCAGTTAGTGGGAGCTTCTGCACCCCCAGTCAGGGGCCAGGTAGAGCCCAGCTTCATTATGAATGACTCCCAGGCAGGTAGTTAACCTATGATCCCCATCATCCTTAGAGGGCCTAATCTGCACCCCTGCCCCCATGCACACTGCCGCCAGATGGGCAGGTGCAGTAGTTACCCTTCGCAGGTTCATGGGCTTCACCTCTCTGCACTGCTGCAGCTCTAAGGGACAGGACTGGGCTAGACAGGCCCACCGTGCCCTGAAGGCTTTTCTCTGCTGGAGGCACAGGAAGCCAGGACCAGCCTGGGTCCGGTTGTGAAGCCAGTTGGCCTGGTGTCCCCTGGTGCCTGCAGGCAGTGACCCTCTGTCTCTGGGCAGGACGAGAAGCACCATCCACCATGGTGAAGCTTGGCTGCAGCTTCTCCGGGAAGCCTGGCAAGGACCCTGTGACCCAGGATGGGGCTGCCTCAGACAGCGCTCCTCTCATCAGCCCTTTGGACGTAAGCCAGCTGCAGCCGCCCTTCTTGGACCAGGTGAGGGCACAGGCCACTGTGGCCAGCTCCAGCTCCCCTGGGTAGGAGCCATCCAGCCCCTGGACCCTGGAGTCACTCACTGGAGGGGAAGCTGCTGCAGGGACACCCCACATCCTGTGATGAGAACAGAACCCCCAGCATGGCAGCACCCCCCCACCCCAGGTGTGGCTACTGGGGTCTTACTGGCCACTAAGCCATCCTGGCACAACCAGCATCCACATTACTGTCCTAACCAACTGACCAGGCCATAAGCATCTCTTCTCAAAGGTGGTTATCAAGACGCACACTGAATACCAGCTGTCCCCGGACCAGGCCAAGACATTTCCAGACCTGGAGGGCCAGAAGCTGGCCTGCAGCCATCCGGATGATGGACGCAAGGTAACCATAGTGGCCAGTGAGTGTCCAGCCTTCAGGGGGTGCCAGGCAGTGGGCCACCCTCCCAACACTGGTTGACTGTGAGTGGCACCCCTGTAGGCTGGAAGGCAAGGACTATGGGGAGGGCATCCCTATGGGGGAGGGGCAGTGCCACACCTAGGGGCACTCCCAGGGGTCACTGCTGAGCTATGGGCCCTCAAGTCTCCCTAGCCTGCCAGAGCACAGGAAGGGCCCTGGGCTGATGCCCTGCCCCGATGCTGAGCCCGGCTCTGCTCAGCTGCCCACCGCGAGGATGATCGCCTTCGCCATGGCACTGCTGGGTTGCGTGCTCATCATGTACAAGGCCATCTGGTATGACCAGTTCACCTGTCCCGACGGCTTCCTGCTTCGGGTAGGTGGGCAGCTGTGGGGATCTGCAGGGGTTCTGTTGCCCCTAAGGTTGCATTTTAGGGGCTGAACAAGGGCTACCTTGGTGAGGGTGGGGTCCATTGTGCAATTGGGGATGCTACCTCCTGGGCATGGGGCTCACTCACCCCTGCCTTCTTTTGACTTCTGTGGCTCCCTAAGAACTCCAGAGCCTGTAGCTGCCTAGTCCACATGCCCTGGGCAGGGGTCTGTCCTCTCTGCTGACCCCAAGGCCCAGACTTCCCATATAGACAAAGGCAGGTCCATGGTGATGGTGTGTCTCTGTGTCCTGTCCCACACGGAGTCTTTCCTGCAGCACAAGATCTGCACGCCACTGACCCTGGAGATGTACTATGCAGAGATGGACCCTGCACGCCATCGCAGCGTCCTGGCAGCCATTGGCGCATACCCACTGAGCCGCAGGCATGGCACAGAGGTGCCGCTGCCCTGGGCTGAGAACCCGCGGGTTCCCAAGGAGCAGCGCAAGGCACCCACCACGGTGGTGGCAGTTGTAGCCACAAATCCCCCCAGGAAGATCTCGGCCAAGGGCGAAGAGGAGTTGTCGATGAAGGAGCCCCCTGGCAGTGTGCTGCCCTCGCAGTGATGCCTCAGTGATTGGCGCTGCCTGGCAGGTACTTGTGGCACACGCCCCTAATGCTACAGTCCAGTCCCTTGCCTATCTCTGGCAGAGACCTCCAGCCCCAATCTGGGTCCTCCATGAGGGCCACAGTTGACACCTCAGGAATGTGGCGGTGGGTGCAGAGGCCACAGTGGGAAGGGGCAGAGTGCAGGTGAGGGGCGGAGAGCACAGGTGTGGAGGGCAGGAAGCAATGGGCCATTGCAGCTTCACGGCCCCTCCCTCTCTTCACAGCACCATGCTCCTGTGCTCCACACATCACTCCACGCCTGTGTTGGTGCTCCCTGGTTCCCCTCTGCCCCCACGGTTCCCCTGCTGAAGCCTGGCCTCTGTGGGCCTCTGTCTCCATGGCTTTTCTGTGAATAAAGACTGTGTTCATCTGGCTGTTCCTCTCTGCTGAGCATCCTCTCTGAGGCAGCTCCCGGTGGGTGGGGGGGCTGGGCTACCTGGAAGCAGGGGATGGGGCCCCCAGCCCAGCTGCCATCACTTGGTGCTGGGCCTAGGACCTCCTCCTGGGTTAGGGCAGCTCCTATCCCATTCCTGCTGTCCATGGTATGACTGATGAACAGAGTGAGCTCTTGGGCCCAGACTATCCACCTGGGAGGATAGTGCCCACTGGGCCTTGGACCTGGGCTTTGCCAGGGGATGGGCTGGTGTCTCCTGCCCTACATGGCAGTGAAAACAGGGCTCAGTGTTAAGGCATGGGAGTCCCCTCCCAGGAGGGAAGCCATCCAGAGCATGGGCCTACTGTCCTTTCCTCCATGTGGGCCAATCCCTGGGGTCCTGGAAGATGGGACTCTAGGGGTATGAGGCTGGCCTGCTGAGGAAACAGGCAAATGGGAAGGCTAGCCATGCAAGGACTGGAGGCAGGGGTGCATGGCCACACAGCACACGAGTTTCAAGAAAAATGGCACTCCCTCCTCACCATGTTGTTGTAGATGCCAGAGGTTGCAGGGTCACACCAGTTGGTTCATCCATCTCTGTCTCGTCCAGGACCTAGCACTCCGCCCATCATCCACCTATGGCCTGTTAGGTCTAAGGGGTCTCCCCCTGCTCAGGATGACCACTCCCCAGGGTGCCATGGGTCTCCCAGTGAGAGGTGGCAGACACCCGGGCAAGAGGTGGGAAGGAGTAGGCTCAGCGGTGCCTACACTGAGGGTGGCCACCAGCAGGAAGGGCAGGTTCTGGACCTTGAGGATGCAGCACACACCTGCACCCGGCAGGAGGAGCGGGACAATGGCAAGTGCAGAGCTGGGCTAGGTACTCCTAGGGCAGCTCAGGTCACCAGGGTTGTCCTGCTGGCACCAGCTTGGGCCCTAACCAGCCCTGGGTGTCAGGGAGGAGGTCCTCTTGCAGCAAGTGCTGGACAAAGAGCCGCAGCTCCCAGGAAGCGTGACTATGCCTCGGGCCTCCCCCTCCCTTCATCCAACCTGGCCACCCCGACAACACAGAGGTGTCCCTCCCTCACAGAGGCCCATTTCCTGTCACATCAAGGAGTCCAGTCCAACTGTTGGCTCACGTGGCTGGTGGCCCATGGCCCCTCAGTCAGTGTTTGGCTTTGAAGGGGCACAGCCCTCTCGGCTCCACTCACCTCCTTGGTGAGACCAAGGAACAAGGCCCTCAAATCCAAAAGGTTCCTCAGCCTCCTCCAGGCCTCACCACATTCCAGCTGACCCAGTAACCTGGGACCCGGATGGTTAGCATGTGCTGGCCTCTCTGCCTGTGCATGCGGGTGCAGTGAGGGCACTGGGGGACTCGGGTGGGGCCTCCCCACCCACACTGGACTCCAGATCCCCGGACTGGGAGCCCAGGCTAGCTTGCACTCATGGTTAGGGGTATTCACGAAGCTGACCCCAGCCCTGCCTCACACCTCATTTATTCTCATGTATTTGAAAGGCAGAGGAGAGATCTTCCGTCCACTGGCTTACTCCCTAAGTGCCCACAAAGTCGGAGCTGAGCCAGGCATCCAGCGCAGCATCCCTGGATAAGCAGGGCCCGCCACCTCCCAGGGGCACTGGAAGGAAGCCGACTGGCACCAGCTGAACCCAGGGACGAGCCAGCACCCCAGGCACTCTGGGGTGAGCCAGCACCCCAGGCACAGCTGAACCCACTGTCCACATGCCCAGACTTCCCTGACTCTGACGTGTGCAGAGCCCTCCCTGCCTCTGGATCACTTCCATGATCGGGGCCAGGCTGAGGCCAGGAGCTCTGTCCAGGTCTCACATGGGTGCAAAGGGTCCCAGGCACCACGGCTGTTCTGCTGTTTCCAGGTGTGCAAAATTTACTTCACGTGTTTGGAACAGACATCTGGCTGCTGCTGCGGCGGCTCAGCCTGAGCAGGGCCCAGGAGCAGCCCCCACACCATGTGTCCCTTCCACGGAGCTGCTCTCATCTCTTGGTGCGGCTGAACCCTCGAGATGCACCTTGTCCGAAGCAGATGGTAGGGGGCACCCTGTGAATGAAGAGCTCCTGTCAGATCCTCCTGGGCCCTCCCCACCTGGGACAAGCAGTGCATGGCCACTTAGGGGAGGCTGCCTGCAGCTCCACCTCCTGGAACCCCTCCCTGCTGCTGGCACCCCAAGTTCCTCATCCTGCGTGGGTTTTACCCCAGAAAGAACCCTTCCTCAGCACAAGCCCAGTGAGTGCCCACAGATGCCCAGGCTGTGCCCACAGGGGACTATGACAAGTGGCCATGTTTCTTTGGTGGGAAGAAGACCCCCCCAGGTCCCTGAAGGACCCAGACTCTCCTGGGAGTCACTGGCAGTGCCCCCCTCTCAACAGGTGATCCAGAAAGACACAGCCCTAGGCTCAGAGCTGCACCACCCACGCCCACCCACACAGGGGTCACATACACACAGGGTCACACACACACTTGGGGTCATACCCCCTCAGGACTCACCCTGCAGGCACAGGGCACTGACCTGCGGCGGAAGACCCTTCTGTCACTGGAGGTGGTTGTGGGTGCTGTTGCGGGTGAGCCAACTTCCATGGGGTCCCCTTCAGGCTGCCTGTCACCCCCCAGGGCTCCTGCACTGGCCCCTGATGTGGCTGGGCTACGGAGAGCAGAGTGACCAGCAGTCCCACCACCGGGAATAAGCATTCTAGCAGAGCCTGCCTCCCCTCACAGGCACTTTGTGATCACTCTTCAGCAAGGTGCGTGCCCATGGCTGTGTCCTGCACCCGCACTTTGTCTGCTAGAATGGCTAGGTCTGCCATGCCACATGGGCAACACCTACTCACAGCACCACAAGTCCCATCTTAGGGAGGATGGCATCCCACATGGGCACCAGTTCAAATCCTGGCTGCTCCACTTCCTATTCAGCTCCCTGCTTGTGGCCAGGGAAAGCAGTGGAGGATGGCCCAAAGCCATGGGACCGTGCAGCAGGGTGGAAGACCTGGAAGAAGCTCCTGGCTCCTGGCTTTGGGGAGGCCCAGCCCCAACCATTATGGCCATCTAGAGAGTAAACTCTTTCAAACAAATAAACACATTTTAACCTAAAATTCAAAAAACCCTGAAGGCATGGACTGGTTCCAGACTAACCCTGGGTACCCCCTCCTCAAGGCAGCAGATGCCACCTTTTCCTTCCCACACCTGCCCCCAGGGTAGGAGCCAAGGACCCTAGAGACACAGGGAGGTGACAGCTCAGCGGCTCCCTGCTGCCTCCGCGCAGAGCCAGGCCAAGGGTCCTCAGCCACACCCAGACAGTCTCAGGTTTGCTAGGCTGTCTCCACCCTTTCAGCCCAGCCCACGTTGACCGACCCAGGCACTGCTGCCAGCCCAGCCCCTCACCTACCCTCGGCTTTTCTTTGCTTTGTCAAACCGGAAATCTGCAGGGTACAGATGACATCTCACCAAGTGATCCTTTCGGTCCTTGCTGGTCCTGAACTTCTCAGTACAGCCCTCCACCAGGCACTGGTACTGCAAGGGAGGCCATCGCTGCAGCCTGACCCCGGCGACCCTGGCACCCCATCAGCTCCCCTCACCGCCCCTGGCATCCACCACTGTCTGCCTTGTCCTGTCCTACCGCAGTCACCCACCATGTCCTGCCTCTCCGACAGGACCTGGAAGAGCGAATCATGCCACTCCTGCACGTGGGCGTCCAGCAGGTGTCCGGACGGGAAGGCTCGCTGGCAGAGGGCACACATGTGCCGGTGCCGTGTGTGGTAGTGATGTTCGTAGTACTCCAGTGTGTCAAACACCTGGCAGCAGCCCGCCACCTGACAGGTGAATTCAGGCACCCTGGAGGACAGGACAGTGGCCAGATGACACATGAGCCAGACCAGAGGCTACTCGCCACACGGAGGTCGGGCTGGGCCTCTCACCTGGGCCTGTCCGGCACTTCTGCCACCTGCATGAGCACGTCCTGGAGGTACAGGTGCCTCTGTACGTCCCCATCCTGCGGGCGAGACGAGGCGAGGAGTGGGCAAGGCTCCAGCAAACGGAGGTGGGGGCTCGAAGAACCAGTGTTCCCGTGTGCCCCTCCCAGCCCATGCTCCGCCGCTCCGCACCACCCGGCGCCCCGCTCCGCACCACCAGGAGCACCACCCCGCACACTCGGCGCCCCGCTCCGCGCGCACCTCGAAAAACTCGTGCTCCCGCGGGAGGCGCACCTGGCGCGCCGCAAAACCGAAGGGTTCGGCTGCCGCCGCGGGGTCCCGTTCCACCGGCAGCGGCTCGGCTGCCCCGGGCCCGCCGGCTAAGCGGGCCTGCAGCGCGGACGGCAGGCGCATCGCCACAGGCGCCCGCCGGCCACCGTCCGCCCCTACACGTCAGCGGACGTGACGGTGCGCGCTTCCGGCGGCGGAGAGTGCAGTTTGGCGCCCGGTTGTGCGGCCCGGCGGTGAGTCCCCGGGATGGGGCGGGCTGGCCTTGGGGTCCGGCGGGACGCTGGCCTTGGGGTCCGGCGGGGCGCTGGCCTTGGGGTCCGGCGGGACGCTGGCCGTGGGATCCGGCGGGTTGGCTTTGGGATCCAGCCGGATGCTGGCCTCGGGGTCCGCCAGGGACTCTGGCTCCCGCTGGAGCGGCCCTGGGGTGAGGATGCCGGGCAGCAATTGTCCGCGCGAGGCTCGTGGCCCCACGCCGCCCGGCGCGCTGAGATTGGGGTGGGAGTGTGGCGCGAAGCGTTGGATGCAAGATTTGTGTGTCCGGCTCCGGCGCGTCCCCTGAACAGCTGAGCTGTGCCCTGCTCCCCTCAGGCATTGGCAGATGCCCGCGGAGGGCGAGTCGAGGGTGGACAGGAGCTCGGGGCTCCTGCAGGGGAAACCACTGGGCGCTCTGGCTTCCGCCGGGGCTCCACGCTGCAGGGATGACCTCACGCTCCGCGGGAGCTGCCCAACCCTGGCCTGTCCCAAGGGTGGTCCGGTCAGGGTCAGCTCCAGTGTTGGGTGGCCACTGTTCACCCGATGAGGTAGCAGAGGTCTGTCCACAATGCACAGGCTCACTGGACTGGTCTGTGCTGAAGCGGGTAGCCCGATGACACTGCAACATGATCCTGCTGCTGCTTTTGTATTTGCAAGTGAGAGTGGCACAATTCCTGTGTCTGTCCCACACATCTGCCGTGGCCCTGCTGGCCTCGTGCATACTGGTGCCAGGCCCCAGGCAGGAGGATGGCAATGCTGCTCCCTGAGTGCTTTGGGGGAGCTGGGCCTGCCGCTCTGATGTTGTGAGCAGCAGCTGAACCTGCTGCCTATGACATGGCCCCTCATGGAGTGTGTGTGGGGGGTGGCAAGTCAGAGCCTAGGAGAACTTGGTGGAAGATGATGACTTGGAAAACTCAGACATAAGTGGTTTTGCCTGCAATTTCCAGTGGGATTCTGAGTCAAAGTCCCATATCAGGGCCCTTCGCCTGTGTTGAATGGTGTCGTGGGGTCTGGCAACTGTGCCCCCAGTGGGCATGCCAGGGTGTCATAGCAATGGGAGCAGGGTCAGCTGCTGCCTGGTTGTGTATTTCAGAGAAAAAGACAGGAGAAATCTTTGCCTGGCTGGCTCCACATATGCCTGTGACAGTGGCTAGGACTGGGCCAGACAGTGCCACGAGCTGCTCCTGGGTCTCCCACAAGTACAGTGGCCTGGGACTTGAACCATCCTCTGCTGCTTCCATGCTCTAAGCAGGAAGCTGGAAGGAAAGTGGAGCAGCTGCAACTTGAACTAGCGCCCGTATGGGATGCCAGCTCCACAGTTGGTTACTGGACCTGCTATATCATGATGCTGGTCCCGATCTGGTTGTGTCTTGACCCCTGAGGCGGCTAATGAACAGGGAGGCGAAGCTGAAATGGACACCCGTCTCCCCCACTGACAGATAGATGTAGGGGTGATGGGAACCTGCACCTTCCTGAGCCTCCTTGCATTTAGCTGGAGCTAGGACATAGCACGTGAAGGGGCAGCATCAACAAGAGCCTCACTCACAGGACAGGCGCAGAGCCTCTGGGGACAAGCTCTGGGAACATGCTCTCCACTAGCTGGGGGCAGCAGCTAAGCAGCTCCTTGGTGGCCCTGGTCCACGTGTAGGAGTGGGGCCACTGCTATGGCATGGTGGGTTGAGCCCCAGCTGTCCTGTGCCAAGCACAGGTTCAAGTCCACCCAGCTCCCATTGCAGTCCCCTGCTGAAACCCCTGAGAAGGGAAAGGTCCAGCAGTGCCAGCCACATGAGCCCTGATGTCACGTGTGGACATGGCTGTGGAGGCTTCTCTCACCCTGCACTGTTGGTGCTTGTAGACGCCCCGCAGTGACGCTGGGCGTGAGCACGGGAGCCATGAGTGAGTTTCGGATTCACCATGACGTCAACGAACTGCTTAGCTTGCTCCGTGTGCGTGGGGGCGACGGGGCGGAGGTCTACATGGACCTGCTACAGAAGAACAGGACTCCCTACGTGTCCACGACAGTGTCTGCTCACAGCGCCAAGGTGAGCACGCGGCCGGGCAGGGCTGGGCAAGGTACACAAGGGAACACTTGGAGTGATGGACGGATGGGCAGGGCATGTGAGGGGACGTTTAGGTGGTGATGGACAGCCAGGGCAGGCAGGACACACAGTTGGACATTGATACAGTGATGGGTGGGGCCCCGTGGGAGCTCTGGGGTCAGTGCTGAGGGTCGCTGATCAGGGAGTGAAGCCCCATGGGTCTCTGACCTTCCACAGGTGTGGCTATGTGGGTCTGTCTGTTTTCTTTCTGAGACAGAATGATTTGCATTAATTGTGTGTTTTGTTTCTGAGTCTGATTCTTGGAGCTTTTAGATTAACTGCTGCCATTATGTTTTTTACATTTGTGCTTTTCAGGTTAAAATCGCGGAGTTTTCTCGTACTCCAGAAGACTTTTTAAAGAAATATGATGAACTGAAATCCAAAAATGCAAGGAACCTGGATCCTCTGGTGTACTTGCTGTCAAAACTGACAGAGGACAGAGAGGTGGGCGCTCCTCTGACCCTGAAGGGGGGACCTGTTGGGAAGCACTGTCCAGGAGCCAAGGCTGAGCGGCTCGTGCCCCGCGTCAGGAGCTTGGGAGGTCATTGACCTACAGTCACCTCTGCCGGGGCGGGTGAGGGGGCAGGCTTGGGTGAAGACCAAGCAGGCAGCCAGGATGGTGAATTCCTGGTCCATAGCCATGACTGGACACATGGACCGCCAGGGGCTGTTGCAGGCTCTGCTTGACAGAGTCCAGGGCTGACGTCCCTTGGGGACACGGTTTGTGTGCTCTCAGACCCTGCAGTATCTACAGCAGAACGCAAAGGACAGGGGTGAGCTGGCTGCTAGCAGCACTACCAGCTTCAGCGTCCCAGCCTCGGCCTCCAAGATGTCCCTGCAGGAGCTGGAGGAGCTCAGGAAGCAGCTGGGCAGTGTAGCCACAGGCACCACCTTGCAGCAGGTACCACCCGGGTGGGCACTTGTGTGGTGGTCAGCAGTTGAGGCGGGGATGGCACTTTGACGTAGCAGCTTAGTTGCCGCTTGCGGTCCTGGCATCCCACGTGGTCCCGGCTTGGGGCTCCATTGCTTCACTTCTGCAAGTGCACCTGGGAGGGCAGTGGACAATGACCCAAGTGCCTGGCCCCGCCCTGGCCATTGCAGTTATTTAGAAGTGAAGAAGTGGATGGCACATAGGTTGATTTCTCTTCATCTCTATCCTTGTCTCTCCATGGTTCTTCTGCCTTTCAAATAAATCTTGAAAAATAAAATAATTAAAACCTAGACTTAGGCGTGCAGAGGTGCAGTGCTGAGCCCTGCCTGGGCTCCAGGTGACTGCCAACCTTCTGGGTAGCAACTGGCTGGCAGGACCCTGTTGGACACCCTGTCATATTCTCAGAAGTATGTGGGTCTACTTCCCAGCCTGGCTCATGGCGATCAGCGGCCCATGGATGGGCTAATGATCAGTACCTGCCAGCACTTAGGAGACCTAGATGGAGGTCCTGGCCCAGTTCCACCTGTCAAAGGTGTTTGATAACAGACAAGCCTATGAGAGTGGCTTCTGGGTCTGCTTCTCAGGAGCTTGACAGACATGGGAGGTGGGTCTGCTTCCCTGCTTCCTGGGGCCTTGGGGTCACCTGAGCCAGCCGGGTGCTGTGCTCCCCGTGTGACCCTGGTTTTCTAGGTCTCCCTCCTGGGTCTGAGTTTGTATCCACCCCGGTCTCAGGTTGGCCGTCTCGGGTGTCTTCTCATGTTCTTGCCTGTTGACTCTGAAGTCCTCTCAGCATGACAGGACACAGCCTGGGCTTCAGGGCTGACCCCTTGGTACTGGAGGATGTGGGGGGAGACCCAGGTCCAGCACTCAGCACATGGTTAACCTCCTTTCTTGCCAGGCTCATGGTACCCTCTCCACAGGATGCGGGAGCTGGCAGATCGCCTTCAGAAACAGGGCTTATGCTCTTCATAGTGCTGCTCCTGTTACTGGTGCCATGGCTTCTGTGGGTCCCCATACAATGCCAAGGCCCCCAGACAGTCTGGGACGGCAGACCTGTGCTGCAGGCGTCCCGTGCCAGAGCCTCCTGTGTGTGTCAGATGAGCAGTGTCGGCCTGGTGCCTCTGCCCTGAAGTGGCCTTTCTGTTTGTGTTTGGAAATGTCTTGTTAGTCCTTCGAGCTTACCAGAAAGATGCTTCGTGACAAGCAGAACAAGAGGAATCTGGGCCAGCCCCTCCCTGTCTTCCCGGCCTGGGTGTATGAGAGGCCAGCGCTGGCTGGGGACTTCCTCATTGGCTCTGGGCTGAGTACGGATGTGGCATTGCCCATAGGTAAGTCCGTGTTTGTGTCTGGCTCCTGGGGTCCTCACAACACATGCATGTATGTGATGACCACATAGTGGCCTGCCTGTGTGTGCTGGTCAGGTGGTGTCCTTCAGGGCTTGCAGCAGTTGAGCACTGGGGGTGCTTTCGGAGTCCTGGGCACCTGTCCCAGGCTGCTCCACCGGCTTCTCATCCCCGTGTGTTTCCTGGAGTGAACCTATGGGCTCCATGTTGATGCTCTGCAGTGCTGGCTCACGGCAGTTCTGCCCTACCTGTCACCGTCAGTGCTGAAATGCAGCGGGGCTCACAGAACTTGGCCCTGCAGCCTCTGGCACTGTCCTGAACACAGATGTGCATCCTCCCTGCCACTGTATCACTTTCTCACCCCCACAGGGCTGTGCTGGGACCCCTGAGCCCTGACAGCCCAGCACTGTGAGCTGCAGAGACCTTGCCCTTGCACTCTGTCCCTGTGCACCCTCAGCTCAGCCCAAGGTTCCCCTCTCTGTCGTCTAGGATGGCAGT